GGGGGGCCAAGCCCCCGCGCACACACAAAAACGCCCCTAGAAACTTAAACCCTTCGCCATCTTAAGTACAAGCTCTCAATGGCCTCAAACTTGAAATGAAATGCGCCCGCGACCTCGCCCCGGGGGGCAGTTGATTCATCGCCCCGCCGCGCGCACCGCCCGGACCCCGCCGCGCGACCCCCGAGCCCCGCCGGCGCTGGGGAAGGGGAGGGGGCTGAGTCATCTCACCTCCTCCGGGGCTCGGTTCCTCAACTCCAGGTTGATCCTCTTCTTCATCTCCATGTCCTCCTGCTCTGCGCGCGCTCCTCCCCGACCCTGCCGGCCTGCCCGCTGCCCCCCACCCCGCGGCGCCCAAATACCTGGAAATGAATGAAAAGGGACGCGCGATAGACGCCCACCACCACCCGCTAGGTGTGGGAAAGGAGGGCGGGCAGCAATGGAGTCCAAGGAGTTGAGACTCCAACTCGGCGGCCCCCACCTCCCGTCCACACACTCGCGCGCGCACACGCACACACGGACACACACGCACGCACACACACGAGCCCGCAGTTCCTTCCCCTTCAATGGCTGCTCCGAGACTGAGCCTCCATGACACGGCACCGCCAACCCCCTGGCCTACACTCCACCCACCTCCCGAAGGGATTGGTTGAATTTTCAGCACCGCGCCGCCCCATTGGGCGACAGGAGTGTCTATCAGTCTTCGGGGCGGGACCGGACCGGAGTCGCCGTCCCCATTGGCTGGGACCGAGCGCGCAGTTAACTCCGATAGGTCCGGGCGGCTGTCCGTCCCGGGGAAATGATTTTGAATCCCAGTCGCCCCCTCCTTCCCTTTGTGTGCTTGGCGCGCTTTCCCCAGGCGCCGGGACGGCTCTGGTGCCTGTTGGCTTGTTTTTTGTTTTTGCTCTGTTGAGTGTTAAAGGGAACGAGAACGCCTCCTCCTCACGTGCCCAAGTTGCGAGACTGACAACTGCAGTTCGGGGCACGCACCGCCCCGCGCAGGTTTAAAGCGCTGCGCCCGCCTCGCGCCGAGGTGAGCGCCGCGTGCGCGCTGCGGGAAAAGCCCGGCTTCGGGCGCTGCCCTGGGGCCCGGGGCCGGCGGCGGGTGCGGGGCCGGGGCCGCGTGAGGCGGCCGCCTGCAGGGGCTTGAAAGCGGTTGGGTGAGGTATGTGAATTCGGCCCCTCTCAGTACAGCCACCCTCGGGGAGACCCCGCAGGAACTGCGGCCGATCGCGGCGGCGGCTCGGGCCCGGCAGGAAAACGAGGCCGCCGCGAGCCCCGCGGAGCCCGCGCCGACGCGCCTCGGATCGCCGCTCCTTTCCGACGGCCTGTGGGCTGCGCGGAATCTGTAGGTCAGAGACGCTTTCAGAGCTCGGCCTGCCGATGTGGGTCTGTAGGAGGGAGCGAGGTGACGGCTAGGATTTCCGTAACGAAGGCCAACTTCTCTTCGTTTTAACGTAATTCTGTTCTTTTCACGCCTTTGCGCCAGCCTCAGGGTAAATACCCAGAGACATTCCAGGTGTTTGGGGAAGGAAGTGGGTGTTAGTCCAGCCCCTCCCAGAGCTGATGTTTGGTTATTAGTTCCAGGGTCTCCCATTAGAGACCCTCGGGTTTTTGAGCAGAGGACCCCACCCACACCCCCAAGAGAAAGAGCTTCACAAACAGGCTAGCTTTGAAAATGTAAATATGTGGCATTGGACACGTTAACTGCATTAAAAGAAAACAAAATAGTGATTGTCTTCTCCATGCTGTTTCCTTTTCATTCCCTGGAAAGGAAATTTTGAGAAGCTGAACGCAGGGAGAAGAGTTTCTGGTATAAAGTGCCGTCTCCGGGGGGCTATTGCAGCTCATTAAGCTTGTTTTAGTGCCGGCTAATGAAGCCCGCATGATGTGAAAATGAAGCAGAACGGACTGAGTAACATTCGAGAGTTTTTTCAAGGGGGTTGGGGGTAGGGTAAAGCAGGGCTACAAAGAAACCTGGAAGCATGTTCTGGCCCAGCTGGGGAGAAAGCCTGTGCCGCCTCAGGCGAGCCTCCCACTGCTGCCTCTCACTCTGGGACGCTGGATATAATCGGAGATAATCGCAGAGTTAGGGAAGGGCACTCAGATTTAGAAGTCATCCACAAAGAGAGGGTGTTACAGGGCAGGGAGAGGGACACGGCTGAACCCCCAAACCTGCCTGCTCTAAATAGGTTCTGCCATCCGCCTCATCAAGACAAAATATACAAGACCTTTCATGGAAAGGAACTTTAGTGCAATCAGTGCGCAATACAGAAAACGCCAAGAACATAGTTTCTAAATCAAATATCCAAAGTCGCCCATCCCTCATGGGTGAAAGTCCACCCGAAGGGTCTGGCCCCAAGCGAGGCCTGACAGCCCCCACACGTCTAAAGCACCTTCTGGCCGGGACCACAGAAAAGGGTCAGACATGGCCGGACAAGTCTGGAGGAAAGAGCAAACTCAAAGTCAAGGTCAACGCTGCCACAGCCACTCCCCGCGGGTCTCCCCCCAGGTCTGTGTCGTCCCGCAGTCCAGGGCCAAGAAACAAGAGCGCGTGTCCACAGCTCTCTGCCCCCTGCGCCCCTCAGGTCTCCTGGCCTCCATCCTGCTTCCTTCCTCTTCAGTCTCTCTTCAGTGTCTCCTCCCTGCTCAGCTCCACCCTCATTTTGGGGGTGCAGGGAACCTGGAGCCTCCCCTTTCCCTGAGGACCACTGTGTTATATGGTAGGTAGGACCTTAGAAAGAACTGAGATGTCCACAGAGAATGTGTGGAATGAAGCTGCAGGCTCCCTGGTGGCACAGAGGCTAAGTCTCAGCTGCTGTGAAGCCACAGCCGCTGCAGCAGAAATTTGATCCCCGGCCAGGGAGGGACCCACAGGGCGCAGCAGACTGCTCCTCCCCCACCCCCTTCTCCCTCAGCAGTGGCTGTCAGTGGCTCTGCCTGTTCTGCTCCCCGCTCTGTCTCTGGGGAGTCCTCTCACCCCACCCTCCCACACACACACACCTCTGACCTGTACTCCAGGTCTTGTCTGCACAAATAGAATAAAATCTAAAAAAGCATGTGTGTATGCAGGCATTACAATTGAGATGGGGAAAAAATGTGCAAAATGATGCAAAAATAAACTATATTATTTTTTTAAAGTATGTGTTTATGTATGTGTGTGTACATAGATATGTGCGTGTGTGTTGTGGACACACATAGACTAAGGCTGTAGGCAAAGGAGAGTAACACCTGCTCGGGAAACTGAGAACAGAGCGCGGGAACAGGGCGGTCCGCTGAGAGTCCAAGAAACAGCAGCCAGTGGAAAAGGCGGCCACGTTGGAAGCAGTGCCAAGAAGCCCAAAATTTCAAGGAAGGTAATGACTTGGTTAAGTGGGCTGTTGGCTTGGCATCCGGAAGGTGGAAGGGCGGGGCAAGTCCTGGAAAGCGTGGCTGAGAGGAAGGCCTGGGCCTCGCCCGCTCATTCTAACTGCTCAGGGGGCAGCAGGAGACCCCCCCAGTGGGCCTTCCCGCCCCCAGCCATCCCCAACCTCTTAGCATCCCAAAAGAGGGTGATCCCAATTGGAAGGGGAACCCCAATTGGGTTCCCTGTCCCGCCTCCCCCCCCCAGCAAGGGGGGGGGCGGGGAGGAGCCGGAGGGAGACTCAGTGAGGAGGCAGGAGGGCGATCCTGGAGAGCTGAGGAGGCCAAGGGGCAGAGCGACAGGTGAAGAAGCACCTGGCTCCTCAGCCTGGGACTAGGACCCGAGCCTTGGGGACCCAGGAGATACTTGGAGCCACCCGGTGGGAGCCCTGTGGGAAGTGGTGGCAGCCTTTACCTCAACTTTGATGTGGCTCCGCCCTTACAGACTTGCAGCCCCTTGGGACCCTCTGCTGTGGGCCCACAGGGCGGGGGGGTTTAGGCTGGCGGCTTGGGTCTCCGCAGTCCTGCTTGCCTGGGAATTTACCCTCAAGGGGTGGGTCACTCGGGGTGCTTGATGAGGAACCTAGCCTTCGCCTTTCTCTCTTCTTTAGTGAACACTAATTGTAGTAATGTTCTTTCCATTAAAGGGCTTCTGTACCTGAGTGTGTTTTGTCTTGAAGCAGCAGAGGGCAGACCCAATTTAGAGAGGCAGGTTTGGGGATCCCAGGGTGCCCTTCAGCCTCAACTGTGTTACCTTAATACTTGAAACTTAACTCTTTCCAGTCTTAACCAAGAAGCCAGGAGATCTGGGGGAGAAAAGACCCCCCTGGAGGTGGTGCCCAGGAGGAAAGGTGGGCTGGATGACCGGGGGCCCACAGGAAGGGAGGGACAGAGTCAGGAGAAAAGCCAACTTGGGGCACGCTTGAGGCTGAAGTAAGGAAGTAGGATTTCAGTGGTAGGATAGGTCGAGGTTAAGTAACGAGGGTAGATAAAAGCAGAGGCGCCAGGTGTGAAATGAGAGGGCGTCAGAATATTCCTTTGATCCACAGACAGAGCATGTTTGGGGGGCCTCCCTGGGGTGCAATGTGTTAAAGCACAGCACTGTGGGGAGCTGGCAGCAGACCTCTCCTGCCTCCCCCCTGCTCCCACTCTGTCTATGGTGAATCTTTTCACCCTCCTCCCCCTCAACCTCTGGCCTACACCCCAGTTCTACACAAAAATAAAATTTGGGGCCTCCCTAGTGGCTCAGAGGTTAAGCTGCAACACTATGAAGCTGTCTGCTGCCACAGGGCGCGGCAGACCCCTCCTGTCTCCCCGCTGCTCCCTCAGCAGTGGATTTCAGTCCATCTGCCTGTTCTGCTCCCCACTCTGTCTCTGGGGAATCCTCTCACCCTGCACCTCTGGCCTGTACCTCAGTTCTTATGTGTGTAAATTTTTTTTTTTTTTTAAATAAGCCCTGCCCACCGCTGGGGCCTTCTGCAGCCCCTCCCGATCCAAACCTCTTCAGCCCTCTCCACCTGCTTTCTGAGTCAAACCACCAGGGCTGCCTCAGGTTCCCGAGGCCGGGGACATAGAAGGAGACAGGATGGCTGCCAGCCTTCCTTGCCAGGCCTCCGTGAGGGTGGAACACCACGTGGAGAATCACTGACCCACACCCAGCTTTCCCAGGAAGGAAGGGAAGTAGAGCTGGGAACTGACCGCCAGCGGCCCCTGCTGTGAACAGGCACCGATGCTGCAGAAATCAGCTCCCTGGGCCTTTGGTTACCCCTCCTGTGGGCAGCGACACCCAGTGGGTGACCAGTGCAGAGGTGGAAGGCTGTCCTGTCCTCAGCCATGACGGACTCTAAGAGCCATTCGCCCCACCCGAGAGCGCCCCCGAGTCCCCTCAGGACAACCTGGTCATTCACTTTCTCCCACTGCTAAACCCCACCTCCCTTCCTCTCTTCCTCGGCACTGGCCGCCTACCACCCCTGGAAAGTGTCTTGAATACTATTTCACCTCGGAGCCTAGTTCTTTTTTAAAACATTTATTCATGTATTTATGTATGTATACAGAACTGGGGTACAGGCCAGAGGTGCTGAGGCAGTGAGAGGATTCACCAGAGTCAGGGAGCAGAACCGGCCGATCGACAAGGACACTGCTGAGGGGAGCAGCGGGAGACGGGAGGAGTCTGCTGAGCCCTGGGG